CGCGCCGACCGAGCGGATGGAGGCGTGCGACAAGTGCGCGGGCGGGACCTACCAGAGCGACACGGGCGCTACGGGCTGCCGCGCGTGCAAGCAGGGCAGCTACTGCGCCGTGGGCGCCGCGGCGCCGCTGCCGTGCGAGGCGGGTTCCTACTCGACCGCCACCAACCTCTCCGCCGCGAGCGAGTGCACCGACGCCTCGCCGGGCCACTTCGCCACCACCGGCTCCACCGAGCAGACGGCGTGCGCCAAGGGGTCGTACACGAACGAGACCAGGCAGGGCGAGTGCACGCCCTGTTCCGGCGGCACGTACCAGGACATGGGCGGCAAGACGGAGTGCAAGCCGTGCGAGGCGGGCGGCTACTGCGCTGTTGGCGCGGCGGCGGCGCTGCCGTGCGAGGCTGGCAGCTACTCGCGCGCCACCAACCTCTCCGCCGCGAGCGAGTGCACCGACGCCTCGCCGGGCCACTTCGCCACCACCGGCTCCACCGAGCAGACGGCGTGCGCCAAGGGGTCGTACACGAACGAGACCAGGCAGGGCGAGTGCACGCCCTGTTCCGGCGGCACGTACCAGGACGCGGAGGCGCAGACGGAGTGCAAGCCGTGCGAGGCGGGCGGCTACTGCGCTGTTGGCGCGGCGGCGGCGCTGCCGTGCGAGGCTGGCAGCTACTCGCGCGCCACCAACCTCTCCGCCGCGAGCGAGTGCACCGACGCCTCGCCGGGCCACTTCGCCACCACCGGCTCCACGCAGCAGACGGCGTGCGCCAAGGGTAGCTTCGCTGTCACGGGCGGCCTCTCTGAGTGCGAGCCGTGCAAGGGGGGGACCTACCAGCACGATAAGGGTGCGACGGGCTGTCTCGTGTGCAAGAAAGGCAGCTACTGCGAGCTGGGCGCGGCGGCGGCGCTGCCATGCGAGAAGGGCAGCTACTCGAACGCAACAAACCTCACCGCCGCGGGTGAGTGCACGGCCTGCCCCGCCGGCAGCGCCTGCTCCACGGGCAGCATCGAGCCGACGCCGTGCTCGCCTGGCACCTTCGCCGCGAAAGAGGGGCAGTCCAAGTGCGAATCTTGCGATCCCGGCACTTCGTCGAATCAAGGCAGCGTCGCGTGCGACGAGTGCGTGGCTGGCAAATACGCCGCCAACGCTGGCCAAAGCCTCTGCAATCTATGTCCGCATCCCCTCAGCTCGGCCAACGGCAGCACCACCTGCTCGTTTTGCATGAACGACTTCTACCTGCTCCAGAGCGCCGACCCAGGAGACATCTTGACCTCCCCGACCGCCTACTGCAAGCCGTGCCCGCCGAACGCTGCCTGCCCGGACAACACTACCCTTTCTTCCCTCGTCCTCCCGCCCGGCTTCTGGCGCGCCAGCCCCTCCTCCGCCGTGCTGACAGAGTGCCGCCTCTTTGGCGGCAATGCCAATGCCGGCAAGACGCGGTGCGCCGGCAGCGAGCCGGTGGCGAGAGGCCGGAGGATGGTGGAGGCGGGCTCAGAATACTGCGCTTCGGACTTCAAAGGCCCCGAGTGCCAGCTCTGCGCCGCAGAGAACCAGTACCTCGTCGATGGCGTCAACTGCAAGGAGTGCGCTCCGCGCGGCGCGGCGGCTGGCCGCATCGCCGGCCTCGTCCTCGGCCTCTGCGTCGCGTGCGGCTTGGCGGCGTGGGCCTACCACATGCCGTGGCGGAAGGAGCGCATCATCGGCTCTATCCTCCGCTTTGCAGACCGCTCCGTCAAGTACTACGTCGGGGTCGGAATGACGGCAAAGCTCAAGATCTTGTTTGGCTTCTATCAGATCTGCACCGTCCTCTCCTCCACCTACTCCGCGCGGCTGCCGGACAAGTACACGGGCTGGACGGACAACTTGGCCAACGTGATCTCCATCGACTGGTCTGGCTTTTTCCTGCCGGAGCAGTGCCTCGGCTACGCTCTGCGGCTCCTCGCCATCGCCCTCTCCCCCGTCGCCCTCATCGCCCTGCTAATGATCGCGGGAATAAGCCTGCGGCTCCGCTGCTGGCGCGCCGCCCCGGCGCCGCGCGAGAGATCGTGGTACGCGGAGGCGGCCCTCGGCCTCCTCGACCTCACGCCGGCCGGTTTGGTGCTCATCTTCTGCTTCGTGCCCTCCATCAGCGCCTCCATCTTCCGCTCCTGGTCGTGCCAGGCGCCCTCTCACAGCTGATGACTGCCGTTGCTCACAACCCCACCCCCCTCAGTCCTCGTAAGTTTCTGCTGATAGGCCTACACCATCTCTCCGCCCGGCGAGGAGCTAGAGCAGGTCTCCTACATGCGGCAGGACGCGAGCGTCGAGTGCGGCTCCGACGATCACGGACCCATCACCGCCCTCGCCACCGGCTTCATCGTCCTCTGGCCCGCCGGCTCGCTGGTCCTCTTCACGTCGCTCCTCGCCGCTTGCTACAAGCCGCTGCAGGCCAAGACGCCGAATGCTCTGACGCGGGCCACCGCCTTCCTCCACCGGGAGTACGAGACGACCTGGTACTGGTGGGAGGCGGTCGAGCTGGCGCGCAAGCTCGTGCTGACTGGCTTCGTGCTTCTAATACCGGAGGAGCGCGCCTTTGTTCGCCTCGTGGTGGCGACGCTCATCTGCTCATGCTACGCCGTCGCGCTCGCCGTCGTGCGGCCGTACAAGCGGGTCGAGGACAACGTGCTCGCCGTCTCCACGAGCCTCGTGCTCCTCCTCACTCTTCTTCTGCACCAAATTGAGGGCCGTCGAGGACGCCCAGGCGGAGATGGAGAGGCGGGAGGGCGGCGGAGCAGACGGTGTGGGAGAGAGCGGAGAGTCGCACACCTTTGTGTCCGTCACTTCGGCCGCGATCTTGGAGTGGGCCGTGGCGGTCGTGCAGACCGTCTCGTTGCTCGTGGAGCCCGGGACAGGCTTGTTCTGTGAAGGGGGGGGGTGCGGGGTTGGGGCGGAGGCGGGGACGGCGCGCAGCGGAGGCGCCGATGTGGGGCCGACGGTGTGGGAGCGGGGAGCGAGGGCGGGGCGAAGGGGGGGCGAGAGAGGGCGGAGGGCGGCGCAGGGGAGGGCGGCGGAGCAGGGAGAGGCGGCCAGGGAGGTGGGGGGGGCGGCCCGGCGGGGGAGGGCGGCCGGCAAGGAAGGTGAGGGGGAGGGAGG